TTAGCGGGCTACTCCACGCTATTTCCACTTTTCACACCCTGTCGATGGTGCTCTTCTGGGGCAGCACCCTCTCGTACAAGCGCTTTCTAAGCTGGCGAAGCGGATTCGACCTGCTCTCAGGCGAACCAGTCCACCTTGGGATTTGTCGATCGTGCTTTCGATTGGCTGTCGGTCCCACTTTCTCACACCTATCGGCTATTTCCATTCAGTTGTTGACCTGGAAAGCTGTTTTCTGGTGGCGGTAACATCTGGTCGAAGGTCGGCGATTTACATGCTATGTCGTCCGACCCGGCTGGCTGTGTTTCACACGGATGCGTGTCAGTATTCGCCTCCCAGATGCCCCGACCCGAAGGTCGATCCAGCTTTCCATGTGACAGCTCCTATCGAACTTCCTACTCTTACCCAGCCTTCCACGCCGGGGACCACTCCTCTGAGCACTCACCCGTTGGATGTCCGTAAAGCAGCTCAAAGTCTATCTCAAAGCGAGCGCAGGGGATCCGTCACGGGTACCCAGCTGTTTCTGTTGTTACGGTGGCGGGAAGGCTGGTCTGCCAGCGAGCAAGCAGACTTTGTCTCGCTGGCTAGTATCGTGTATTTGTGCGGCTTATCAGGCTAAGGGCAAGCCTCCCCTGAGGGGTTGAAGGCTCACTTTCGGTCAGGGCAGTAGCCGCATCAAAAGCTTTGCATCGGCACTCCCCATTGAAGAGATCTGCTCGCCGCTATTTGGAGCCGGCCAAGAAACGCGTTTATCGCCATTATCAGCTCGTCGCATTCCCGTAATCGTGCAAACTTTGGCCGTACTGTTCTCTCCAGTGGACAGTGTCCTGCCACCCTGACCGAGTGAGTCTTGGTTTATTGGTTTGTTTTGACGCTACTGTACAATAAGATTCCATTATTGACATGTCTGCTAATGTGAGCTCACTCAGAGAACCTGTACCCCCTTCGATTCTCTCACGGAGTTACTGTATCGTTAGTGAGTGGTATTTTTGTTTTCCCCCACGGTGCTCTCATGAAAGAAGCCACTTAGTGGGTCGGTTCGTTGATATTCGCACTCGTGCAATGTCTCATTATGCTAGAGGTCGTCTTTGAGCACAAATCCTCCCTGTCAGTTCCCTCCCATAATGCCTCGCGGAGCGAAACTGGGTCAGTGACAGGTGAGTGTTATGGCGTCTGTTCAATTTTTCCATGATACGATCGCTATATTTTGAGTGTGCTTGGACAGAATTCCCTCCTCCCTGGCCTCCGGTCTTTGGGAGTCTGTGTTTATGCATAATATGTACCCCAAGGGCGATCTCTCTGAAAAGAATTAACCAAACCTGCAGAGGTTTTCAATTCTTTGAAGAGAGTCGATCCTTGGGGTAGAGCCTCCACCTCCCCGCAATTCTGTTCACTGATAAGAATTCAGCAGAAGGAATGATGATCACGGGTCTAGGAGCCTACCCAGTTGGTGCGCATGCGCTAAGGGAGGTAACTCCGTGAGGTAGGGTCCGTATAATAAATAAAAGAGTTTATTTATTGTACAATCTTTTTATTCAAAAAACATTGATACAACTGTCACAGGACATTTTTCAGCCGGAAAATGCATAATATGTACCCCAAGGACGACTCTCTTCAAAGAATTGAAAACCTCTGCAGGTTTGGTTAAATTTTACAAATATTCCTGACACTACCTGCTGTAGCCTCATCAAACTATTTATTTGTATGAGGTCATGTTTGCTTAAAAAAACTTTTTCGTTCATACATGTTCCTTTCCTTCGTCGTGTGACCTCGGCTAATCATCACCTACACCTATTACATTTTTCCAGTGTTTGATGCATTTTGGGCTGTTTCATAGGCGTACCAATGTAATTCAGAAAAGAGAACAGAAAATCGTACTAATTCAAAACAAATAAAAACTATGTGTGGCACGTAGTCTAAGGCATTTCTTTATTCTTGACTACACCTTGACAGTCGGACCCAATGTTTACATTACCTGCCACGCCTCTTGCCGCGTCGCCGACGTCACGCCCGGACCAAACTTCCCTTCCAACACTCTGGCGTTTGTTTTCACGAGTTCTGTCAAAAGAAGGACCTTGTCTTTAGTCCAATTAGGTTTTCTCTTCTTTTTCTCAGACTCCGACATATTTTTCACAATGTATTACCGCGGTATCTCAATGTGTCGTCTGCCGTAAATAGCAAAAGGGAGATCCCAACGAAAGCCATTTTCACACCTTTTTATAAAAGAGTTCCGCAGGAAGTCTAAAAATAACTCGGATTCACCCTAGTGATCACGCGGGTATGCACTACGAAAAAAACTTAGTTTCTGACTTAGTAGCTTAATGAATGCCATCTTAAGTTTCAGACTTAGCTAAGTCAGTTTTAAAAAACTTAAGTTTGGACTTAAAATATGATTGGAATAACACAATCTTAGTTTCTTTATGAATACCGCCCCTGTAGTTCCTTGTGCTTCAGTAATGGTAGCTGTGAATGTGGCAGGCTGTGTGTTCACATGGATGTCAGTGTTTGTTGTTTGTGTTCCAGTATGACCTCAGTAATGGTAGCTATGAATGTGGCAGGCTGTGTGTCCACATGGATGTCAGTGTTTGTTGTTTGTGTTCCAGTATGCCCTCAGTAATGGTAGCTATGAATGTGGCAGGCTGTGTGTCCACATGGATGCCAGTGTTTGTTGTTTGTGTTCCAGTATGCCCTCAGTAATGGTAGCTATGAATGTGGCAGGCTGTGTGTCCACATGGATGTCAGTGTTTGTTGTTTGTGTTCCAGTATGACCTCGGTAATGGTAGTCATGAATGTGACAGGCTGTGTGTCCTCATGGATGTCAGTGTTTGTTGTTTGTGTTCCAGTATGACCTCAGTAATGGTAGCTGTGACTGTGGCAGACTGTGTGTTCACATGGATGTCAGTGTTTGTTGTTTGTGTTCCAGTATGACCTCTGTAATGGTAACTCTGAATGTTATAGGCTGTGTGTTCACATGGATGTCAGTGTTTGTTGTTTGTGTTCCAGTATGCCCTCAGTAATGGTAGCTATGACTGTGGCAGGCTGTGTGTCCACATGGATGTCAGTGTTTGTTGTTTGTGTTCCAGTATGACCTCAGTAATGGTAGCTATGAATGTGGCAGGCTGTGTGTTCACATGGATGTCAGTGTTTGTTGTTTGTGTTCCAGTATGACCTCAGTAATGGTAGCTATGAATGTGGCAGGCTGTCTGTCCACATGGATGTCAGTGTTTGTTGTTTGTGTTCCAGTATGCCCTCAGTAATGGTAGCTGTGAATGTGGCAGGCTGTGTGTCCACATGGATGTCAGTGTTTGTTGTTTGTGTTCCAGTATGACCTCAGTAATGGTAGCTATGACTGTGGCTGGCTGTGTGTCCACATGGATGTCAGTGTTTGTTGTTTGTGTTCCAGTATGCCCTCAGTAATGGTAGCTGTGACTGTGGCAGGCTGTGTGTCCACATGGATGTCAGTGTTTGTTGTTTGTGTTCCAGTATGCCCTCAGTAATGGTTACTGTGAATGTGGCAGGCTGTGTGTCCACATGGATGTCAGTGTTTGTTGTTTGTGTTCCAGTATGCCCTCAGTAATGGTAGCCATGACTGTGGCAGGCTGTGTGTTCACATGGATGTCAGTGTTTGTTGTTTGTGTTCCAGTATGACCTCAGTAATGGTAGCTGTGACTGTGGCAGGCTGTGTGTCCACATGGATGTCAGTGTTTGTTGTTTGTGTTCCAGTATGCCCTCAGTAATGGTAGCTATGACTGTGGCAGGCTGTGTGTCCACATGGATGTCAGTGTTTGTTGTTTGTGTTCCAGTATGACCTCAGTAATGGTAGCTGTGACTGTGGCAGGCTGTGTGTCCACATGGATGTCAGTGTTTGTTGTTTGTGTTCCAGTATGACCTCAGTAATGGTAGCTATGACTGTGGCTGGCTGTGTGTCCACATGGATGTCAGTGTTTGTTGTTTGTGTTCCAGTATGACCTCAGTAATGGGAGCTATGACTGTGGCTGGCTGTGTGTCCACATGGATGTCAGTGTTTGTTGTTTGTGTTCCAGTATGACCTCAGTAATGGGAGCTATGACTGTGGCTGGCTGTGTGTCCACATGGATGTCAGTGTTTGTTGTTTGTGTTCCAGTATGACCTCAGTAATGGTAGCTGTGAATGTGGCAGGCTGTGTGTTCACATGGATGTCAGTGTTTGTTGTTTGTGTTCCAGTATGCCCTCAGTAATGGGAGCTATGACTGTGGCTGGCTGTGTGTCCACATGGATGTCAGTGTTTGTTGTTTGTGTTCCAGTATGACCTCGGTAATGGTAGTTATGAATGTGGCAGGCTGTGTGTCCACATGGATGTCAGTGTTTATTGTTTGTGTTCCAGTATGCCCTCAGTAATAGTAGCTATGACTGTGGCTGGCTGTGTGTCCACATGGATGTCAGTGTTTGTTGTTTGTGTTCCAGTATGCCCTCAGTAATGGTAGCTATGACTGTGGCTGGCTGTGTGTCCACATGGATGTCAGTGTTTGTTGTTTGTGTTCCAGTATGACCTCAGTAATGGTTACTGTGAATGTGACAGGCTGTGTGTTCACATGGATGTCAGTGTTTGTTGTTTGTGTTCCAGTATGACCTCAGTAATGGTAGCTATGAATGTGGCAGGCTGTGTGTCCACATGGATGTCAGTGTTTGTTGTTTGTGTTCCAGTATGACCTCAGTAATGGTTACTGTGAATGTGGCAGGCTGTGTGTCCACATGGATGTCAGTGTTTGTTGTTTGTGTTCCAGTATGACCTCAGTAATGGTTACTGTGAATGTGGCAGGCTGTGTGTCCACATGGATGTCAGTGTTTGTTGTTTGTGTTCCAGTATGACCTCAGTAATGGTAGCTATGAATGTGGCAGGCTGTGTGTCCACATGGATGGCAGTGTTTGTTGTTTGTGTTCCAGTATGACCTCAGTAATGGTAGCTGTGAATGTGGCAGGCTGTGTGTTCACATTGATGTCAGTGTTTGTTGTTTGTGTTCCAGTATGACCATGATCAGGAGAAGGAGACAGAGCGGAGTGCCAAGGCAGACATGTTGGATGCTCTGGAGGCCAAATGGCAGGTGGGTAGAGCGGCACTCTCCAATGTAGGTCCTGGTGTCTGATGAGACAGGAAAACTGCTAACAATGCCATTGTGTATACATTGACTAATCATTTGCTATTTTTTGTGGAGAAAGAATTTGCCGCATCAGACTGAAAAAGCTGGTGAGATTCATCAGTAGGAGCAATCTGTCCATTCTACACTCATATCAGCTGAAGCTGAGCAAGTTAGATATACACACTATAATACAGGGGGACTTACAGTTATGGTAATGTTGGTTTAGGGCAACATTTCTACCTTGTGTTGATTGTTCCAACATTGAGAATAACTTAAAGATATTATATCATCAAGACCATTTGTGTTATTCCAATCATATTTTAGGTTCAACGCCAAGGAAAAAATCCAGATTATGCCTCTTCTTCTTCCTGGTTCTCATATGGGACATCCATGGCTGCCAATGTCCTGGAGAATATTCAGGTGACTATCTGCTAGTGCTAAGCTCTTCTCCAACTTGCGTTCATGCCATATAAGGATATGTGAATGTTGCCAATATAGGTGTTTCTTGGGGGAAGGAAACCGAGTCAGTGCAAGCTACTGACCAGTCTTCTCAGTATCTATACCTTCACCTTGTCCATGGTGCTCAGCAAGACTGCCAGGAAGTGAAAACTCCTAAATGGGGCACACATCTGGGAATGTTTTGTGTTGATGCTTTCTTCATCTTATGCCATTGTCTTAAATCTACCTGTTGTCATTCAATGGAAATTTACATGAACTGTTTTAATGTTTGTACAAGTACAATTATTTTTGTGACCTGTAGTATCGAGAAACCCCTCTAGCTTGGACCTTGTTATTCTAGGTATGTTTATCGTTCGTTTGTTTGTTTAACACTGTACTCAGCAATATTCCAGCTAATATTCCAGCTATATATGACAACAGTTTGTAAAGTATTGAGTCTGACAAACAGCAAATCGATCTATGCTATTGGGATACAATGATGCCAGCGAGCAAGAAAACTTATCCTGGTATCATGGGTTAATGAAGGCCAATATTGACGCAGATTGTCAAGGGTCCACGCTTGTGTGTTGAGCAGGATCCCCGCACCCATGAGTCATCCAGCTGGACATATGATAATGAGACAGTGGTACACCAACAGGGCACCATGTATTTGTGTGTTTGACTGGGTTTTGTTTGTTTTCATGTCAGCTACACGTGAAGGATGTACATATCCGATATGAAGACGAGCACCTCAATCCATCCTGTCCCTTTGCTTGCGGTATCACCATCCAGAACCTCAGTGCACAGAGCACAGACAAGAGCTGGGTTGGTATTCATCGCCTTGATTTCAGTACTTGACTAGGTTAAGATTCTTTTCCATTAGGGTAAAACTTTTTAGATATGTAGAATGTTGAATATGATGTAATGTTACATAGACATTGAAAGGTATATATGTTGCAGTTGTCCAAGTTTGTGAGCCGCTCAGAGAGCGACATTATGTACAAGCTGGCTGACCTGAAGGACTTCTCTGTGTACTGTGATACCAACGCCACCATGCTGGGAGACCTCTCCATGTCAGACCTTGCAGTAAGTCGCACAGTCACATGATAACATTTTCTAAAGCCCAAACAGGAAATATAAAGCTGTGATGTAATAGAGGGAGTATTCTCCACATCATACACATTTTCTCCAGTTTGATGTTTGTGGACATATCATAATATGATTTACCTGAGGTAAATTTTGCAGTGATCTTGCACTGGACATGTTGAGGAAGGCTATATTGTGTGAACCAAGGGACACACAAACTCGCAACATTAACAACAAGGATTAGCTAACTCTGATATCTGTTTTTGTATTACAGTGATATAGATGGAAAACATGCCTCAGACCTGATTCTACCTTACAAATATATCATAGAAGTACATAGCATTACAATGATATGTGTTTGGGAATATAACAGTAAGGCAATGTTCAAAAATTGGTGTGTCCAGGGGGCCGCAAGATTTTTGTGTTTGGTATTTTAAATGCCCCTGCAGTATTCCTTTTTGCATTAGGTCATTTTGAAGACATTAATGTTTGTGTTAACTAAACAGGATGCACTTCAGCGTGGCATGTATGTATCCACTGCTGACGGCAACTTCCACGACCACGAGTACATGTTAAACCCAGTGAGTGCCCAGGCTCAGATCAAACGGCGCAGCACCACCCTCCCGCTCCGGTCAGCCTCCACCCCCAGGATCAGTGTGGACATAAGCCTGGACAGCATCGCCTTCCACCTGACCACAGAGCAGTATCAGAGTCTCCTGCTGTGGCAGAGCGAGTTCGAGAGGCATGGTGTGAGGAGACAACACAGGAAGTGGAGGCCGACCAATACTGTCAAGAACAGGTAGTGTGCATCCTCCGTGTATCAGCCATAGGATAATCAAAATGTGGAACTGACATGCTTCAGTGCCAACCAATAAGATTCTTGTGGAATCATGACAAAATATTGCCCTCTTCCCTACTGTGTAATAGTGGTGATCCGATTAATTGAAATAATCGAAGATTGGTCGCAATGACTAAACGATCAAGCAATAGATCATGTATTCTCATAAGTCAACTCAAACAATTTTGGCACACTTGTTTGCATTAACAACATTTTTCACAAGCTACAAGTACTACAAGCTTGTTCCTTGTCATGATTGAATTTATCTTAAAGATTCCAGGAAATTTATGTTCCTTACATACTATTCATCCTTTAAAGATGTGAAATTTGTAAATGCATTTTTTGCCATTTGCAAAAAATTTGAATTTGATAAATCACGCCAACCAATTTTTTTTTGTAAATGCATTTTGTGCCATTTGCAAAAAAATTGAAGTTGATAAATCATGCCAACCAATTTTTTCCGATGATTGATCGGTTGTAATGAACCAAGCATCAATTGTGAGATTGTAACCAATTCCCAACACTACTGTGTAATGAAGTGGATAATGTGACAGTGAATACCACATGTACGAAAACTGTAAGGTAGCACATTGAACAGTTGCTTCGTTGTGTGATTTTGGCACAGTAGGAATATGGAAATAATTATTATTATCATTATTGTATCCCTAGTCCAAGGAAATGGTGGATGTTTGCCATCGACTGCCATCTGTCGAAGATTCAGGATCGCAACAAGCGTCACACAAAGGCCTTCATGCTGGAGAGGGCTGGAAAGGCTATAGCTTACACAAAAGCCTACACTGCTGTACTGACGGAAGACAACCCAGCACCTGGAGTGAAGGTAACTCTAGACATACCCTTATTATAATCAGAAGTGGTTTTCCAGTGAAGATTCATTTGAAACTGTCAGTTGTTACGTCTGTCACATCAGATCTCAGAATTCATAAAAATATTGACATATTTTGATTACATCATAAATTAAATCCCTGTACTCATAGATTTAACACTGAAATACAATGTCTCATTATACAACATGTTGGAAGGCAGATGAGAGTACCCAGACTGTGGGCTATATGGCTGATGGTAATGTCAGGTTGTTGTCAAGTGCACTCTTGACATATAAAATGGAAGAATTATCACTACTAGTTTTACCAAACTCAGAATCCATTCTTCTAAGTCTTTCATTACCCAGCTGACTTGCTCTCTCTTGGTGCTGGTGTTTCAGACCTCCCTGGAAGATCTGGAAGAAGAGCTTGGGTTTGATGAGCTGAAGATTCTAAGGGAAGTAATCCTGTCCAAGTTACGCTCTGAAAACAGATTGGTAAGCATTTCATGGGCATTTTAGAAGTTGACGAATAGATAAGAAATCTCCCAACTTTATGGTATATTGCATGTAGCAATATTTCCATGTACTTTCTTGTAGAGTTATCTAGCTTGATAACAGTAATAAATGCAAAACATAAAGCTATTATCCATTTAGTGGTATGTTTTATAATGGACTGGTAAGCGTGTATCTAATATTACAGTTGTAACAGTTAGATATTCTGTGACCCCGATGGAGATTCTGGGATAGAATTGGACCTTGACAACCAATGCTGGTTTTTAAGAGGTGACTATGGATCAGGTGGCCTGACACGGTAACGTGGTTCCGTGCTTGGCATCATATTCCATCATCAGTTCCTGGACTGTTGGTCCCTAAGCCTATGTACAGGCCACCTACATACACCCCTACCCCAACCCCCACAAGCACCCACACTTGCTTGCTCGCAAAGTTCGTTACAAGAATGTCACATCATTCAAACATGTGACAATTAGATCCCTGCTTATAACCAAACTAACACTGGATTCTGTGGCAGTATATCATGTGAATGAGGCTGTTATTGTTTGTTCACTTCAGCCAAGGAAAAGCCCTTCATCAGTGGACCAGCCTACTCCAAGCCCTGCAGGAGGGGATCAGACCGGACTGTTCCAACGCTGGTTCCCAGGTTGGTCAGGGTGGTACCAAGGGGCTGAACCCCACATGGAGCATGCTGGTCACACCGAGGACACTAAGGGGGAGTCGGATGTAGATGGGCCTGCAGAGGCTGTTGGACAGACAGAGCTGGGTGATTATAACTCTCCTTTCCTTTTCAGTTGGTCTTCAAACCCTTTTCTGACAGTTAATATGGGTGCAGTGGTAGTTGAGCTTTTCTTGTTGTAGTTTTACGCTCTTGTATACACAGTATTTTTGTAGGTAGTTCATTAGAATTCGAAAATGTGGGTCATGGAATTTACCTTGGTAATATATATATTTAACTGACCGAATCTAGATGCTGCAATCAAGACAATGTTTTATTATGTAGGTAAATAATAAAAAGGGGACGCATTAGGGATGCCACGATACATTGATACATCAATGCATCGATACTTTTTCTAAGACGATACAATTATCGATACATTCAAAACTCTATCGATATTTAGTTTTGAAGGTATCGGTTTAAATATGTTTATGTATCGTTTACATTTTGCAATTGTATCATGTTTTTTTATGTTTTGAGAGTTATAAATGATTATTATGTTCAAAATGTAACTAAATTTATGCAATAATGCCGCAAAATAGATACCGTGATACATATCGAATCATGACAAGGGTATCGTGATGCGTATCGATTCATGAAACTTATGTATTGTGACATCCCTAGGAAGCATAGTGTATTTGGGATGTATGTTGACCATGTCAGATTCCTTCCTTGAACCTATGTAGTTTATAGAGAGGCATGTGACATATCCAGCTGCTTCAGCTATTATAACTATCGGAATCACTTTAGGATGTGAGAAGTTTTGATAGTCTGTTCTCATATTCCAGTAATATTTTTGTATTCCAGAGCAAGAAATCTTAGATGTTATTCTTGATTCCACTGAGAACACATCACTGCTACGTAAAGACACAGTGTTCGCCAGTATGACTTTCTCCCTGTCTAAAGGATCCTTTGAACTGGTGGAGAGCAGAGGACCACACAAAGGTGAACATCTCTCCCTACGTGTCTACTGTCATATTTGATCACTTTTATGTTATCAAATTCAGAAGGTATTTTTGAGAGCTACAACTTTTTCTTATCCTGACTCATGATCTTTTGCTTATCTCCCTTTTCTTTTCGAATGGTAGTTGAATCCCTTGAAGTTCCCGAAGCGGACGTAAAAATACACTCACCCACAAGTTACCTCCCTTTTGCCCTTTCCCGCGCAAACAGTCATGTGACCAGCCTTACTTGTCACTCTCTCCCTTTTCGCCCAAGTGGATGGTTGGGCGAGCACTGGAGTCCCATATACTCTCAGGCATTCACCAATTTGGGCCTCTCGTTGTACCACTGCAACTAATGGTTCCTCAAAGGCGCTGAGTTGAAAAATCTCACCCTTTATCACGTTGACTTGTTGATAACTTTTACTAAGGAAAAGTATTAGTTTGAAAGTCCATGCGCACAGTCTAGGACAGGCTAGCATGAGTGATTAAAGATCCTGTATGGGTAAAGATCTTACCTGTACGTGAAGGGGTCCCAACTCATTTATGATAAAGATCTTATCATAATCTATGGGTTATTATAAGATATCTAGTAATAAGAAGATACTAGTTTATCTGTAGCCACATGAATCAACATGATTCAACTTGTCTGAGACTGAAGTAAGACAAGAAAGTCGTCCCCCTGAGTTATAACGGAAGTTGGAAGAATAGGATCAGGAAATGCCGTTTCGCAGTTCCCATGGGGGGGGGGGATACAGGATGTATCTAAGGACAGCTGATGAATCAAAGAAGTGGCTTGACCCACCACCAATCCGTCGGATTCTATAAGCAAAAGATTATGAGTCAGGATAAGAAAAAATATGTAATTTTTCAAGTAAAATTGATATTTTTGTACTTATCCTGACTCATGAGGTCAAGCCCTCCCAACCTCCCCGCTGGAAACACTTAGGATTTCACAGCAGATCCAAGTGCATGGGCAGAAAAACAGGAGAGAGTGACAAGTAAGGCTGGTCACATGACTGTTTGCGCGGGAAAGGGCAAAAGGGAGGTAACTCGTGGGTGAATGTATTTTTACATCCGCTTCGGGAACTTCAAGGGATTCAAGTGTTCCACAACCATTCGAAAAGAAAAGGGATATAAGCAAAAGATCATGAGTCAGGATAAGTATAAAAATATCAATTTTACTTGAAAAATTACATTTATTGCTCTAATTATAAAACTTCAAGTCCTCTAATTTGTGTTCAGTGGTCTTGTGTTTCTGTTTAAGCTTCAAGGCCTCTGGCTGAACTCCAGTGTTCCACTATCAACATGGAATTTGAGTCTCGTCCTCGTACTACCGCCATGAAGTTCAAGTTAGCTGTGGGCAGTCTACATCTTCAAGACAAGACCACTCACAACTCGGTGTTCCCTTACATCATCTCGCCACAGTCACAGGTACTCACTGTCATGACATCTACCAAAGCATATAAAACAGCTGAATAGTTGCATACTGTTACAGTTTGCAACCGGACATCTTTGTCCTGTTAATCCTACTTTCTCACTGTGATAGCTTGTCTACAGCATTGTAGTTGCACTACCACCTTCAGTAGGTTAAACAAGTGTTTAGTTTTACGCCGCACTCAGCAATATTCCAGCTATATGGGCGGTAAATAGTCTGGACCAGGCAACCCAGTGATCAACAGCATGAAAGTTAAAGGAAGGCAGCCTAGTGATTTCTTATTCTATTGATAACATTCAGAAGCTTGATTTGTCTTTGGTGTTTTAGGAGTCCATTGGCCACTCCCCGAGCCCCCTTCCTCGTCCCAGTACAGCTGAGCGACTCTCACCGAGGCCATTGCTGCAGGACACGCACGCGAGTGGAAGTTTTTTGAGCTGTCGTACGAGAAGAACCCTTCTTCAAGCTTCTTCAGATACAAGTAAGATCATGGTCTGGTTATTCAAATACCCATGCATACATGTCTGTCCTTGTTAATACATTCAATTAGGGATTTTCTCATGAGATGCTTGAAGTATGTTTGTGGACTTGTGAAAGTGAAGTGTGTATCAAGTAGCATAGCAGTGGGAGAGTGGTCCCTGTTCTGGAGGACTATTGGTGGTATGATGTGACTGTCTGACTGTTCCTTCATTGGTAGAACCAGCATCAAGACCCGGCCTCTGGACATTGTCTACTCTCCAGCATTCATCAAACTAGTGAAGGGGTTCTTCTCTTCCCCAGTCAGTCGAGCACAGAAAGCAAGGAGATCCAGAGGTGAGACTTTCGTACACCTGTTGTTTTGTCTCTATGTTAGGTTCACAGCAGTTTTGATATCTATGTTCTTAAACATCTTCAGTCAGAAACATTGCATGTGGTTATTGATGACCATGTGTGTCAAACAGTGCATAGTTGTTGATTTCTTGAGAATCAGGTTGTTTTTTAATAGTCCACTTATATGGCGCTCATATGCGGGCACATTGCCTTCTTAAGGCGCTACGTACATTACTATCCCCAGTCATAGGACACTGTCGTATTTTCCGATACTTTTTCAACTCCGCAGGGAGCATAGGGCCATACTGCCTGTTAGGCGCAATGAACTAAACACACACATTGCCAGCACACCCTCACGGGTACCCATTTTACAGCTGGGTGAACTGAGACAATGTGGATCTAAGTACGCTTCTCTCAAGAGGAGACTAACAGGACTGTGTGGTCAGCCTCATTGACATCAATGTGCCTGATGTCGATTACTGTGTTGTCTGGTTCCGACTTGATTATTGAGAGATTGCCATCATACCTCTGGAATATAGCTGAATGTAGCATGACACAGCATACAAATCAGAAGTATAAAGCTCCAATTATGGTCCTCTACTTTCACTATGGTTTCATAGTCTTGAATCACTGTTTATTGTCTGCCTCTAGCCTCAGCATGGAAGTTTGAGGCCCTGAAGAAGAAATCTCCAGAGCAGCTAATGGAAACACTGGATCAACTTCTGGAAGCAGAGGTCAGTTGCACTCCCTGTTGCTGTAACAAACGTGATGCTACTCATCTACATCAAACAAACATCACAGCCAAATGTGTTGATTTAACTCAAATTAAAACTGACTAATCTATTTGCTACTTAGCATTATTCTTTAGAAGCATCTTCTCTCATTATAGTTCAGGAATGATGCTAAGCTGTTTTCTTGTGAAGCCCATTTCTGGTGTATGGAATTGATTTTAACTATTAGAAACAAGAAAACTCCACTGGTCTGAAACGTGAAACACTGAAACATGTGAAACACTAATTAACACTATTAACACTGATTGCTTGAGGAGAGAGCATAATATTTCCCTCCAGTGATGAAATACCTCTAAGTGTAATAAATGTTTCCTTATCATGCTAAATGCTTGTCTCCTTCTTCTTGCGAATGATAGTGGAACACTTGAAATCCCTTGAAGTTCCCTTCTAACAAAGCGGACGTAAAATCATCACTCACCCACGAGTGGCCTCCCTTGCCCCTTTGGCGCCTTTTTCGTCACTAGACCAGCCATGTTTTGTCACTCTCTCCTTCTTCACCCATGAGGTTGGTTGTGAGCGCACCTGGGTCCCTATACGGCACATATCCTTTTCTATTTAGGACCTTTAAATAAAAATTATTGCTGTATACGGCTTTTAGGATTATATTCTACTATATGGTTTGAAATTTGATCTAAATTATACGTTGTTTGACATGTTTTTTCATCGTGTTTACATTTAATGAAAACTTGTATTCGTTGTAGGTACCGGTTGTCTGCGGCTGACCCACATTTATTATGTCCTGATTGCACTACTTCATGTTCTTTCAGCTCTCGCTGTAAACATTGTCTGAATTTAACCACTTTTGAATTCAATAACTACCTTTTTTCCATTCATAGACGTGCAAAGGACTGGGTAAGAAGGTATTCACAAGTCATGTCTAAATCGAGTGATTGCGCTGATAACCGTGTGTTAACTACTGCTGCCAATGTTCATAATTCCAGTGAATTGCCAAGCGTTATACGGGGGCAGGTCGCTGTGCCAGGGATGAACTCTGGAGCTAATAAGAGATCATCATCAATGGAGCTGAGCTCTTCGCAGAAGAAGAAGGCTACTACCCCTAAGACTTCATCGAAGTCTCTACACAGCTCTATGCAGAAGACGAGATCCTTCTCTGCCGAGATTGTACCTCCGGGAAGAAGCAGACGTGTATGATGATCCCCCCATCCTCATACCTGAAGTCACAGACGTCAGCAAGAAGACGAAGCCTGCTTCTACAGCTACATCAGCAACTTTATCAGCGCAGACATTGACAGAAGACCTTCTATCAACGCAGACATCGGGTACCAGAGATAGCAGCAGCGTCAACTCTTCACAAGTGCAGCGTACCTTAGAAGACGCCTCATCGTTGTCAGAAGCATCATCATCCCTGCAGCAGTCTCTTCAGACATCGCAGAACTTCAACCCGGGGCTGTTCATCCAACAATTTACAGACCAGATGATGTCGATGATGGAACGTCGCTTTGCACAGGAGAAAGCTGCTAAGAAGACCACTACGATGACTACTAGCCTGCGTGAAGATTCAGCAGTCTCTCCAACGCACTTGGAAGAAGAGGGAAGCCTGCGTGAAGGCTCACGCACCAGACGATCTTCCCCATCTGGAGTTAGGAGCTTGGACAACGCTACCAACGTCAGCTTAATCTTAGACGTTCCCCGAAGGAGCCGCTAAGAGATGTCTAAATCAGAGGAAGAAGGTGAAGTCATATTCTCCGATACAGAAGTAACCTTATGGATTGCTAATGGCCTGGACCTAGCATCACCTTCCAAGGACACAGACGAGGCGTTTACATACAAGATGTCCAACGATGATTTCGACACACTCACCTTTCCACCTATCGACCCGATCTCCCAAGTACCGGACAGCCTCAGCTCAGCCTTTGATAAGGCTACCAAGTTCCAGAATCAGCATATCCCAATGTTCAACGCCAGGAGATTCCCCCTACATCACATGGAACCCTTCCTGAAGGCACCAGAGATTGATGAGGACTACAAGATCATCAACGACTCCCACTATAGAACTTACAAGATAGAAGACAAGAAGTTAGCACAACTGGATACAACTACTAAACGTACTAGCCAGGTCTAGGGCTATCAACGAAGTAGTCATCTCGAAGTTCAAGAACTCGACCGCCGAAGACAACCGGATTATATATTCTGCGCTACTGACTCAGGAAAAGGACTACCAGTTTATGTCGGAGCATCTAGCATCAGCGAGCCTGACTCTCCTGAGGAGACAAGGATTATTGTCATCGTGCACATGGAGTGAGTGGTTCACCAAGTCCTTATACAGAGCCCCATGGTCAGCATCATCCATCTTCGGAGGAGGTATTGAAGAAGTCGCCAAAGAGGTTACACACGAATCAAGGGAGGTCATGATGATAAAGTCCATAGATACCTTGGCAAATGTGATTCACCAGACGTCCCAGCGTTACTCCAACAAATCCAAGTTTGCAGGAGTCCAGAGGGCCAGAGAAAAGAAGTATTCCAGCTCAAGAGGAGGAAGAGGTTCTTTTCGTCGCCCAACCAGAGCCCCCAGAAGTAACCCCGGAAGAGGCCGAGCACCCAGGGGTGCCAGGGGAACCAAGCGCTGAAGGACAGGATTGGAACGACTGGAGTATTCCACCCCCAGCTGTTCCTGTACAACCTTCGACAATGGGTGGACGTCTTCAATGGTACTGGGAGAATTGGGGAATACTACAGGACGACTATGTATCCCAGATACTACGCAGAGGGTATAAGATACAGTTGGAAGCCACCCCGCCGCTTACAAGCAACCCGCTGGCCTTCAACTACGCAGCTGACCAGACAGAAAGACTGGACGACGCAATCAAGACTCTACTTGACAAAGATGCAGTAGTAGAGATAAATCAAGATCTCATCACGCCTGGTTTTTACTCCCCAATTTTCCTGGTACCGAAGAAGAATTCCAAGGAGAAGTTTCGGCTCATCTACAACATGAGGAAGTTCAACCAGGAGTATCTCCGCAGACCAGCAAAATTCAAGATGATACATCTTCCTCAGCTCCAACATTTCGTTCGTCCATCAGACTACCTCGCCAGCATAGATCTATAAGATGCGTACCTACACATCCCGACACGTCCAGACTCAAGGAAATACCTAAGATTCCTTTTCAACGGACATCACTTCCAGTGGAAGGTTCTACCGTTTGGAATATCGTCGGCCCCCTGGTTGTTTACTCAAGTGACCAAGCCCATCGTCACATTTCTACATCGTCGAGGTCTACGCAGTGCTTTTTACCTGGACGACGGAATTCAAGTTCATCAAGATCCCAGTCAACTCAAACTGCAACTAGACTTCAGCATCAGGCTTCTCACTCAGTTAGGATGGCTGGTAAATCTCCTCAAGTCGGAACTGGAGCCGAAACAGGATCTTCATTTTCTAGGAATACGACTCATCACGCCGGTGAATCGCATAGTCGTCCCAGATGATCGTTGGGTCAAGATACAACATATGATATCTCAAGCAATGCTCTCTCCGTTGACACTATGTGCTTGGCAAAGCATGCTCAGTCTACTCACCTCAGCTAAAGGCATGACTCGCAGAGGGAGATTACAACTGCGCCCACTACAAATATTTGTGAACGCCCATCTCGACAGTCTGAATCGGTTGATACTACCGGACAGCCTGAAACCATACCTCTTATGGTGGACTCGGAAGTCGAATGTTTGTGGAGGAACCTTTTTGTCAGACCCGGTTTGCAACACTCATCTCTACGTGGATGCATCGCTACAAGGATGGGGTGCCCACCTTGACAACGAAGTGGCAGCAGGGAAGTGGTCGAGTCAGGATCAGAGTCTGCACATCAACCTATTGGAGATGAAAGCAGTGATCAACGCTTTACAACACTGGTCCAGCGTACTAAAAAATACAAGACTCACGGTCCACACGGACAACTCCACAGTAGCGTTCTACATCAACAAACAAGGATCAACAAAATCAACAAGTCTGCTACAACTCAGCTTTCTCCTGTTCAGCATCGTCGACGACCTGAAAATCTACATGAAGGCATGTCACATTCCAGGAGCAAAGAATGTCATAGCAGACGCCCTATCTCGTCCACTACAACCATCCCCGACGGAATGGATGTTACACCCAGAAGTGTTCCGGTTCGTCATACAGACAAAAAGATCTCCACTGAAAGACCTGTTTGCAACAAAGTTCAACAAGCAACTACCAACATTCGTCTCACCGATTCCAGATCCTCAGGCATGGGCAACAGATGCTTTAAGCATCTCATGGGAAGGACTAAACGCTTATGCGTTTCCACCTCCAGCACTACTAACACAAGTAATGCAGAAAATCAAGCAGACGACAACGCTGCAACTGATTTTGGTCCCGCCCTATTGGCCAGCGAGGGTATGGTTTCCCGTACAAGAACTCGGAAGTCCAACCCTGAAACTACCAGAGTGGTCGATCCCGCTAGTCCATCCACACACCAAGCAAGCTCACGGGAATCCGGCATAGTTCCAGCTACACGCGTGGAGTTTATCAAAGCTTTCCTGAAGACTAGAGGGTACTCCGCCAGAGCAGCGAAAGCAGTGACACTAGCTCTACGCAGACCAACTCGCAACTTGTACGATGATAAGTGGCAGAGATTTCCTTTGAACATCCTTTGAACTACTGACACAGAAAATACTGTTCCTGATCGCCCTAGCAACAGCAGCACGGATGTCAGAAATACATGCTCTGGACTTTGAACGAACACGATTTGAAGCAAGACATCGTGACATCGTACATCTAGGACTGAGATGGGACTTTATTGCCAAGAACCAACTGCCCGGCCAGCATGACAGACAGTTCCACATCCCAGCACTCTCTACAGTCCTTGGGCCACAGGATACACAGGATCTGTCCTTATGCCCTGTCAGAGCACTAAAAGTCTACCTACAAAGGACAAAAACAAGGAGATGTAAATTCAAGAGCCT